TATAGTTTTATAGAGGACATTTCAGGCTTTCAAATGATACCAAATAGAGGTTGATTGGTTTAACGAATCATGAGAAAATCGACCTTGCTCCTTTGCCATTGGCAATCGAACTTTGAGCTCAAATTTCTCGGTGTTGGGTTGTCCAATTGCAATCATCTTTGTACCAATCGATAGAGAAAGTCTTGGTGCATCTAATGATATGAAGCACTTATAAATTGGACACCCCAACACCAAGATACTTGAGCTTAAAGTTCGATTGCCAATGGCAATCTAAGATGCTCAATTTGCGATTGACCGCAAATTGAGCGAATGTTTTGAGCCGACTAACAACCGACTTTAGCCCTGACTACGTGTCTGAATGCAATGGCAGTTGTGATTGTGATATATCATCAGTGCTACATCAAATCGACTGAAAATCAGCTTAAACAAGACCCAAAAACTGTCTAACCGGGGGGCTATTCCTAGACCAAGCCAATTTCTCGCCAGGTTAGCCAAGTATTTCGAAATTTTTAGCACTTTTGTGAATTCTGGAGCGCACATGAACCATTGAATTGAAAATTTTTGAGAAAATTAGCATTTAACCATGCTTATCGTACCCCCAAATCGTGATCGCCCTTTAAATCTTGTTCGGTTAAGAGTTTTCAAAAATTTCTTTAATATTCTTGCAATCTGGATGTCACCATGTCGAAAATTGAGCGATAAATAGTAGATGGATTGAACGTTAAAAAAAAAGCGTTAAAATAATAGCTAGAATATTATCGAATTCAAGGTTAAAATCGCTAAATGATAGTTTCTTTGACTAGAAAAATTGGAGATGCCTAAAAATGCTTAAAAATGCCTAAAAATGTCTAGAAATGTCTGAAAATGTTTAGAAATGTCTAAAAATGTCTAAAAATGTCTAGAAATGTCTAAAAATGTCTAAAAATGCCTAAAAATGCCTTAAAATGCCTTAAAATGCCTAAAAATGTCTTGAAATGTCTAGAAATGCCTAAAAATGTCTAGAAATGTCTAAAAATGCCTAAAAATGTCTAAAAATGTCTAAAAATGTCTAAAAAATCCTTCTCTAAAAGGTGTGAACCTGCAGAAATTTCATTGAAAAGCCGTAAAAGAAGAATATTTTTAGTGTTGTCTTTAGAGAAATCGACAAACCTTTGTTTCCGTTGTGAATTGGTGATTTGTAAAGGAAAGAGAAGGGGAAGAGAAGGAGGAGAAGAAGGAGAAGAAGAAGAAGAAGGAGAAGAAGGAGAAGAGAAGGAGAAGGAGAAGAAGGAGAAGAAGAAGAAACAAAAAAAAAACTATACGTTTTAAGGGGAAAAGTATGATTTCTCTTGATCCAACGATTTACGATTTAGTGCTAAACACCTTTCTAGCGCGCGTCTCTATCGAAAAATAAAGAATCGATTGCGCTAGCAAAGATTTGTTTACAGATTTTTAAGCACAAAGTACACTAGAAGACTAATGTTAAAAGGGAAATTTTATGTGAAAGTCTCAAATCTGGATCTAACAAGTCTAACAGATCTAACAAAACATCAAGCTGCCTTTTTATCAAGTTAAGTAAAGCGTCGAGGAATAGAGTCGAAAGGTTTGAGGGGTTCGGCAGTCTAACAGACTATTCACTAGACCATCAAAGACCATCAAAGACCATCAAAGCAGTTGTTAACGGAGCGTGTGACAGCTTAAAGCTCAAGTCAAAAGGCCCGCTTGATTCAGTGCTTTTGATTCAGTGCTCTTTGTGAATCCATCATTTCATTGGCACTGGAGAATGAATGAAATGACAAAGGGATTGCAGAAATGATGAATCGAGTTAGATAACAACCACAAATATCGCTTTTTATCTAACTCTCGTAAAGAAAAGACATTTTCAGAATAGAATCAAAATTTTCAGCGTTTTCCATTAAGATTTAGCACCAATATCAGAAAATGAAAGTAAAAGAAAGAAATGAGAAAGAAAGATTTCCGAAGAAGGGATCGAACCCTCGACCTTTCGCTGGACCGTCGTCCTTCCAGGCTGATGCTCTAACCACTGAGCTATCCGGTGACCTATCGGGCGAGAAAAAAGAGGGAATACAAAGGGACTAGAAAGAAAAAAAGAAAAAAGTGAGGTTACACATTTTCTGATGCAGTGAATTTTTCATTTTTTTTCACAGAAACGCCTTGATTTCTGGTGGAAAATTGAAGAATTGAGTGCACTAGAAGGGTTACGTTTACAAATAAGCACAAAATACATGAGTAAAGCGATGTTTTAAAGGGTAAACTGGTGAACAATTTGTGTTGTATGTGAGCTAAAAAAATACATAAAAAGTTTGAAAACTTTTGAGAAAAAGTGTCCAGATGTGAAATTTGAGGAAAAGAAAGGAAGAAAGGAAGGAAGAGAGGAAGAGAGGAAGAGAGGAAGAGAGGAAGAGAGGAAGAGAGGGATTGGAAAGAAAGACAGGAAAGAAGGAAGAAAGAAAGGAGAAAAGATGGGAAGGAAGACAGGAGGACAGACAGGAAGAACGACAGGAAGAAAGACAGGAAGAAGAGAAGAGAAAAAAGGAAGAGAGATTGAAATTCATACAACTGCAGCAACAATTACGGAAGGAGTTGAAGGAGACGGTGATACCGGGCAGGATTCTAGAGTTGCCAATGAGAGTCGTCGAGGGAGCACGGGATGCACAGAAACGACTGCCGATTTTCTTGTCGAAAGCACAGAATATGTTGAGGTGAAGGATTGATGGCTTTGGCTGGCTCGAACTCCAAACAGTCTTGACTTGGGCTAAGCCAAGGCTAGAATCAAACTCACCTAGAATCAACCTCACCAAATCAACCTCACCTAGGCTCACACCAGCCCTGACAATAAGCCAGGCTGTGTCCTCAGGACAGGGTAAGATCGTGACTGATTGCAAGCCTAGATTAGATCTGAACCAGCGATTGACCTAATCCAAACCGGGTTTGGACCAGACTAGGAAAGGATATGGACTCGAATCAGATCCAAATCAGAGCCAAATCAGATCTAAATCAGATCCAAATCGCTTGATTGAGATTGACCTAATCCAAATCCAACCCAGATCAGATCCAGAACCAGGGTTCTGGACAAGCGCGGCTCAAACCTTTTTCTCAATGTGGACGGTAAAAGCTGGAGTTGAACCAGGCGAAGCTATAGACTCAGGACTAGGACCTGGATGGATTGGAAAGGCAGGAAGAAAGAAAGAACGAAAGAAAGAAAGAACGAAAGAAAGAAAGAACAAAAGAAACGATAAATTTTCCTTTCTTTTCACTTTCTTTTCACTCAGAAAGTTTCTAGAAATTTTTGAGCTTATTGAAATGCAAATGAAAAGCAAATTACAATAGAAATTGAGATTTTCTTTCATTTTTTAAGCAATCATTTCCCATTTACAAGTTTTAAAAGATCTTTTACAAGATCTTCCACAAGATAAGTCCATTCAACTGGTTTTCGTGAAGTGAGCAAAGCTCTTTTAATGGATCACCAAATCCCCAAGAGACCCATCTCTCCACTCAATGAACATTTTGTGCTTTCTTTCAAATTTGATGCTAAATTTGATGCTAAATTTGATGCCAAAATGTGTCAAAATGTATTTTGTGCGCAAAAACTCATCAAAAAAAACCCTTTCTAGCGCACAGATATCTCAAATTTGTTCGTTTTTCAAGGGAAATTCAAAAATTGCGCTAAAAAAATGCGCTAAAAGGGTGTATTTGCAAATTTTTTTGTGTAAATTAGACCTCAAAACGAAATTTGGAAAAAAATTTTGGCTTAATTTGGCTTTTATTGGCTTGATTTTTGCTAGAAATTCGGGAGATTAACAAATTTTTTTTAATTTAATTATTTAAAGTATTTAATTACGGCTCTTTCCCTGAATCGTAGTCTTTTGAAAGTTTAGTGGTCCTTTGAAAGTCTAGAGGTCTTTTCAAAGTTTAGAGATCTTTTAAAAGTTTAGTGGTCTTTTTAAAGTTTAGAGGTCTTTTGAAAGTTGAGAGGTCTTTTCGAAGTTTAGTGGAACCGTATTGGAGCCGTATTGGAACCCACGGATTGGAATCGTATTGGAATCGTATTGGAACCGTACTGGAATCGTATTGGAATCGTATTGGAATTGTATTGGAATCGTATTGGACCCCACGGCTTGGAACCGTATGGGAATTGTATTGGAATTGTATTGGAACCGTATTGGAACCCACGGGTTGGAACCGTATTGGAATTGTATTGGAACCGTATTGGAATCGTATTGGAACCGTATTGGAATTGTATTGGAACCGTATTGGAATCGTATTGGAACCGTATTGGAACCCACGGATTGGAACCGTATTGGAATTGTATTGGAATTGTATTGGAACCGTATTGGAACCGTATTGGAATCGTATTGGAGCCGTATTGGAACCCACGGATTGGAACCGTATTGGAATCGTATTGGAACCGTATTGGAACCCACGGATTGGAACCGTATTGGAATTGTATTGGAACCGTATTGGAATTGTATTGGAACCGTATTGAAACCCACGGATTGGAACCGTATTGGAATCGTATTGGAACCGTATTGGAATCCACGGATTGGAACCGTATTGGAATTGTATTGGAACCGTATTGGAACCCACGGATTGGAACCGTATTGGAATTGTATTGGAATCGTATTGGAACCCACGGATTGGAACCCACTGACTTGCCTTGATGGCCTAGTGGTTAGTGTGACCGCGTTCGGAATTGCTCCTAGTCTTGCGCTTGGTTCAAACCCCCTTTCTGTCCATTGTTTACTTTTTTATTTCAATAACAAAAACTATTTTTTAGGGTTTTAAATAAGTTAAACATTAGTTAATTAACCGACTGGCTTAATTTAAGGCTTAACTAACTTATCAAAAGAGCAAATAAAAATCTCGTTTTCTAAACGAAAGTAAAGTAAAGTAAACCAAAGTGTTTACCGTGAGAAAATCGATTTCAGTGCACCAGGTGGGTGCGTTTACAAATCGAGAGCTTTGAAGAACACAAAGCACCAAAAAGCATTTGAACGAACTTGTGTATGGCGGTAGTCGGAGTCCGGCTTTATCCCCGCAAACTCCAGACGACAAGACCAACGAATCGAGCGACGTCATCGGCGCCGAGTGTTTCCATTTCAACTCGTAGACTAACTGAATGAATTGTTTTATTGAATGAAAAAGATTTCATCGTTTTACCTTGAATGCTGGCCTTAATCCTTTCAAATTCAATCGAAAATCAATCCATTTTTCTTTTTCCATTTTCTCAGTCTCAATCTTGATGAGCTCTTCTTTTCGGAAAGTTCTCTCATCTTCGAGAAAAACGGAGAATATTGCTAGAATTTGAATTTAATATGGAAATTAAAATAAGAATATTAAAATACCATCATTATCCTCTTTTTCTTTCATTTGAATCGAAAATCTGACGCAAAGTGAATGCGATTTTTGCATGTGAAACGTCGGTGTGATGAGATGAGAAGAATGAGATGATGGAGAGAGTGAGGGATTGATCGACATCACGTAATGACCTGCTAATGAGTATTGCATTCAGATACAGTCAAAGTTTAAAGCTTAAAGCGACACTAGCTAATTGCTAGTGTCGAATTTCTAAATGCCTTGCTTTGCTTTGCCGTAGTCAAAGCTTTGCTGTAGTCAAAGATGTGTCAAACAAGGATCAGTTTCCCAGAGCAATAGCCTCAGCCTGGGCCCTTGATTTGGTTCATAACCCGGCTTCAAGGCCAGGGAATGGCCAAAGGCCCAAGGGAATGACCAGAAGTGGCTGTGAACGTTTGGGAGGAGTGATCCATTCGATAGATCGATAGATCATTCATAGATCTCATGATACATGGGGATCTCATGACGGCTCCCCGCCACTTTGCCATTGGCTGACTTTAAGCTCAAATTTCTCGGTGTTGGGTTGTCCAATCGCAATCATCTTTGTACCAATCGATAGAGAAAGTCTTGGTGCATCTAATGATATGAAGCACTTAGAAATTGAACAGCCCAACACCAAGTTATTTGAGCTTAAAGTTAGCTTGGCAAAAGGGGGCTTTAGCTTGCGAATGGCAAAAGGGTGGCGGAGAGAATTATTCATTTTTCGTGTAATAACGATCGTTGGGAGGGAAAACGACGAATTCAGTGCCCCAAACGAGTGCGTTTACAAAGATTGTTTACAAAGACGAAGCACAAAGAAGCACAGAGACCAAAGAAAAGTCTAAAGAAACCGACCCGCATTCGCTTTCAAATGTCCTTTGATTCTCTCCCATCTCGTGTCACCAATCGTTTTCATTCCACACAAATCTTTCTCGAAACCACAAATCCAATCGTATCTCGAGATCTCGGCTTTTTGATCTAAACCTTTTGATTTAAACCTTTTGATTTAAACCTTTTTAAATAAAAAATAAGATAACAAAGATAACAAATAATATAACAAATAATATAACAAATAATATACCCTAAAGTCTCGAGTATAAGTTGATCCGAGTATAAGTTCTGCCTTAATTTCCATTCGCTTTAATTGCTTTGAATTTCTTTTTGTTGGGTTTTTATACATTTTTATTGTTACATGAACTTTTATTATTGTTCTTGGAGGGCGGGATACTACAGGGTGACAGCCTATCACCATTGCTATTTGTTATGTGCATGGATACATCCAGACGATAGGGTTGAAGAAGACGCTGGAAAGCATCTCTTTCGACCGTCGACGTGGACTTTGGCCGGATGAAGAGGCCAGAGAGGGATCCATAAGACTGAGCACTGGAGAGGGCGGACGCGCCGAGCCACGCTTTCCGGTTCCAATACGGTTCCTTTTTTGATCTAATACAGTTCCAATACGGTTCCTTTTTTGATCTAATACAGTTCTTTGGCCGGATCAAGAGGCCAGGGAGGCTTCCATAAGACTGAGCACCGGAGAGGAGCAGGGCGGACGCGCCGAGCCACGCTTTCTGGTTCCAATACAGTTCCAATACGGTTCCTTTTTTGATCTAATACAGTTCTTTGGCCGGATCAAGAGGCCAGGGAGGCTTCCATAAGACTGAGCACCGGAGAGGAGCAGGGCGGACGCGCCGAGCCACGCTTTCTGGTTCCAATACAGTTCCAATACGGCTCCTATTTTGATCTAATGCCGTTCCAATACGGTTCCAATACGGTTCCTTTTTTGATCTAATACGGTTCCAATACGGTTCCAAGAATAAATAACAGCATAAAATTGCTATAACCCTCAATAAATTTACTTCTATTATTGTTCTTAAAAAGCAAAAAAGTTATGCAGCAGCGGGGTTCGAACCCTCGACAAACCGCACCGGAGACAGCCGTCAATTTGCATGCGAAAACCAAATAGAACTTATACTCGCGACTTTTTGGTAACAAATAAGATTTCTTTGAGTTTTTACAAAGATTTTACAAAAGCAAAGCAAAGCAAAAGAAGAAAAAAAACAAACTTGGCCTAAGGAAACCTTTACGATACCAATGAGGGACTAAAGACTTCTATATTTTAAATATTCTAAAGCATTCTTCTGTAGATTCTTCTGTAGATTCAAAACTGTAGCCTATTTTTACTCATTTAGACTTTTTTGCATTATTGAATATCAAAATCAACCTTGTGGGGTGAGCACAATGTCCCGGATACTCCACGGAGACTCACGACCATTCCCATCAATCACCTGTAATACGAAAACTTGTGAAAAACCTCTCTACACTTGTAGAAATCAAAAATGAATAGCTTTAGCTATTGGTTTATTCCTAGAGTAAGAATTTAGTTGTATCCACCATGTAGACGTTGATAAATAGCTCAGAATCCGGCCCTGAAGCCAATGCTTGAAACCAAATAGGATAGAAGCTATTGGCAAGTTCTAGAAAACCAAGTTCTAGAAAAATCAGATTGTTCAAGACAGATTGGTTGATTTTGGACTTGAAACTAGCCATGGGATTTCCATGGATCTTTTCCTAGCCTTGTTCTGGATTTGGAACCATTTCCAACTCTCGGGCTTGGCTTGTTTTGAAAAGACTCCCACAAGCCAGCTCGAGCTATTTAGATTGGACAATAGTCATCAAGCTATCAGCTTCCTAGCCATAGTTCTTCCTGTGGAAGATAAAGGAATTATTCCGGTCTTAAATGCTTATATAGCTTTTAAGTATTTAAGCTTTTAAGCATTTAAGTGCTTAAAAGCCTGAGCTAAGTGGGCGGAGCTTCGCATCCTTCGCAGTTTTCTTTCTCGATTTTCTCTGGCTTCTTTCACCCAATCGACCTCTTTTTGGTATCATTTGAAAGCCCCAAGTGTCCTCTATGCAACTATATCAAATGTTTACTAAAATATGATCTCTAGGCAAAGTTATAGACGCTTGTTGCAGGGGAATCTGGGCTGGCTTGATCACTTGGTTTAAGCCTAAGCCTAAGCCAAGCCAAGCCTAAGCCATAAGCCTAAGCCTGAGCCTAAGCCTGAGCCTAAGCCCTAAGCCTAAGCCTAGCCTAAGCCTAAGCCTTAAGCCTAAGCCTAAGCCCTAAGCCTAAGCCTAGCCTAAGCCTAAGCCTTAAGCCTTCAGCCTAAGCCTAAGCCTTAAACCTAAGCCAAGCCAAGCCTAAGCCATAAGCCTAAGCCCTCAGCCTAAGCCTAAGCCTAAGCCCTAAGCCTAAGCCCTCAGCCTAAGCCTAAGCCTAAGCCTGAGCCTAAGCCCTAAGCCTAAGCCTTAAGCCTTCAGCCTAAGCCTAAGCCTAAGCCTAGCCCAAGCCATAAACCTAAGCCTTAAGCCCTAAGCCTAAGCCCTGTTTGGCCAGAGCCCCAAAGCCAAAAACTACTCTTTCACTTGCTAGAAAGTGTGATTTGACTTGTTCTCAATCTTTAAACCAAAACATTCACCTTCACGGCCACTTCGTATTCCCTTCCTGGCAACAGATTAACCAATTTCGCGTTTCTCCCATTCACGCGCAGCTTCTCGTGATGATCTGTTTGGTAGAGACCGTACCTAAAGTATCAATAGTTTTTATTTTAAACGTTCCTTTAGAATTTTGTTTGTCAACTTTGTCAATTTGTCAACTGTAGATGTCGTAATTCTTCTATTAGAAAGACATGCTCATTCGAACGAGGATTGACAAGAGGAGAACGAGGATTTACAAGAGGAGAACGAAGATGGTGTTCAAGAAGTTCAAGAAGTGTTCAAGAAGTAGATGCAGCTGGTGAAGAACAAAACGCTGACGATGGAGAAGATGCAGCTAGCAATGCTCTTTCTATATCTTTCTATTGTTTTTAAGATTTATTAATGTTTTTTAGGTGTGCTCTATTTGAACGAGGATTTGAAAGATTTAAGATTTAAGGTTTAAGATTTAAGGTTTAGGATTTAAGGTTTAGGATTTAAGGTTTAAGATTTAAGATGCAAGATTTAAGATGCAAGATTTAAGGTTTAAGATTTGAGGTTTAAGGTTTAAGGTTTAAGGTTTAAGGTTTAAGATTCAAGCTTTAAGATTCAGGCTTGAAGACTCAAGGCTCAAGGCTCAAGATTCAAGCATCAGGGCTCAAGATTCAAGCTTCAAGCTTCAAGATTGAAGGCTCAAGACTCAAGGCTCAAGGCTCAAGGCTCAAGGCTCAAGGCTCAAGGCTCAAGGCTCAAGGCTCAAGGCTCAAGGCTCAAGGCTCAAGGCTCAGGGCTCAGGGCTCAAGGCTCAAGGCTCAAGGCTCAAGGCTCAGGGCTCAGGGCTCAAGGCTCAGGGCTCAAGGCTCAAGGCTCAAGGCTCAAGGCTCAAGATTCAAGCTTCAAGTTTTGCAAATCATGTTCAAGTAGATGTTCAAATGATGTTCAAGTAGATGCAGCTCGTGAAGAACAAAACGCTGACGCTGACAAAACGCCGCTGGCAAAACAGCAATTCTATATTCTCGTCAAACTTTTAATCCTTCAACCAAATTGAAAATCATCAAGTACACAAAGAAAACATCAACCAATGCTGTCTCAAAACTTTGGAATCACAAGATCAACGATCATTGATTCAACGATCATTGATCAACGATTATTGCTTGAAGACAGCAATGAGCTTTGAAAAATAGAATGACAGCATTGTTTGATGCTGATGTGCTCTATTAGAACGACGGTTTTTAGAGGTATTGAAAAATAGAACGACATTTCGTTCTAGTAGAAAAACTTTCAATAGAAGAACATCTTGAAAAGCTTCTTTAACCCACTGCACGATGTAATGTCTTCCCGTTCCGTCGACTCGATTCTCCTCACGTCTTTCCGGATTCGGATCCTCCCAGCTCACCTAGAAGATACGATTTTTAAAGTATACAATAAGCATTACTAGAAGATGTAAAAATTATATGAGATCCAATTATATGATATTCAATTATATGAGATTCAATTATATTATTTATTTCTTTACCTCAACAAGTCTTTCCTTTGCCAAAGCTCTCACAGCTATTGGAGGCCATAATGAGAAAGCGCCTTTCTCCTCTGAAAAGTTGTTACAGTATACAGCAATCTAGATACAGTAATCTGGATACAGCAATCTGGATACAGTAATCTAGATACAGTAATCTGGATACAGCAGCCTGGATACAGTAATCTAGATACAGTAATCTAGATACAGTAATCTGGATACAGTAATCTAGATACAGTAATCTAATAGGTTGATGCATAAGTGTTTTTGTTCCTTTTCGTCTGCCGTTTCAAGCCAACAAATGCACCAATTAAACTACGGTTGATTTCATTAGAAAAAGCAATTATTTTTCTGCAAAATAACATTAAAACGGGTTTAAAAATATTTAATGCCTGGATTTTCTTGAGAGTATGAAGTCGGGTAGTCAAAAAGGGCCAACTCGATGATGCGGTTTAGACACCTTAGCTAAAGAAAACCTATCTTCGTGTCAATAGATAAAAGATAGAGAAAAAAAACGTTTGATATTTCGCCAAAATTTCAGAGAAATTCATTCAGCCAATTTTTCCGTAGAGTTTTTTATAGATTTTTACGAAAAAGGCGTTTTTCACTCTCGAATTTGCTTGAAAGTGAACCGAAATTCATTTAAAAAGATGCAAATTGAACAAAAAAAACACTTTTTTTATAGAGCAAACTATAGATTAATTGGTGAATTTGTTACTTTTTAGCAGAAGTACGAAAAAAACGAAAAGACTTATGCATCAACCTAATAGATACAGTAATCTGGATACAGTAATCTGGATACAGTAATCTAGATACAGTAATCTGGATACAGTAATCTGGATACAGTAATCTAGCTACTGTAATCTAGCTACTGTAATCTAGATGCAGCAGCCTGGATACAGTAATCTGGATACAGCAATCCTTGAATGCAGCTACAGTTACGGTAACAAGTACAGTGCTCCTAACAGTAGCAAGTGCAGTACTCCTAACTACTAAAAGTAGTGCTGTAAGTCTGAGAGTGATCCGGGATCCATTGGGATACGGGATCCATTCTCAGAGTGATCCATTGAAAACTCTCACTACTATCGTCATCGCTGAGCGTTTTCCCTGTAAGAAGGACTTTTTCCCCGTCTTCTCCATCAGCTTCATTGTAGGCGTTCACCGCGAAAACATATGTTGTTGAGGGTTCTGGAATTAGATGGAAAATCTAATTCTGATCAAATTCGAATAGCCAAAGCCGGCTAGCAGGCTAGCAGGCTAAAAATGAAATAACCGTTTGGGATGATCCATTCGATAGATCTCATGATGATCTATTAAATGCAAAAGAGATCTTTCAGAAATATTGATTCAGTAAAAAGTTGACGAGGGTGAAAAACGCTCCTTGTCCCATTTCTCGTTGTACAGGTACTTTTAGCAGCTAATTTTGATCATCAATGTTCATCATGAGATCTATCGACTCATCCCAAATGGTCACATTCACTTCTGACCATTCCCTTGCAAGTCTGGCTAGGCAGCGTGCCACCAAAAAGCTGCCGCAATCGCAATTTTGATAGGTGATAGCCATGAGTCAGCTATTGGATTTGCATAGAAATATCTGAGCAAACCACGAGCCAGGTCTGGACCTGGCCATGCCTTGAACTGGTCATGCCTTGGATCTGGCTCTGGAGCTGGGTCTGGCTCTGGAGCTGGATCTGGCTCTGGGTCTAGATCTGGCTCTGGAGCTGGACCTGGCTCTGGATCTAGATCTGGCTCTGGAGCTGGACCTGGCTCTGGAGCTGGACCTGGCTCTGGAGCTGGACCTGGCTCTGGATCTAGATCTGGCTCTGGATCTAGATCTGGCTCTGGAGCTGGACCTGGCTCTGGAGCTGGACCTGGCTCTGGAGCTGGACCTGGCTCTGGATCTAGATCTGGCTCTGGATCTAGATCTGGCTCTGGAGCTGGACCTGGCTCTGGAGCTGGACCTGGCTCTGGATCTAGATCTGGCTCTGGATCTAGATCTGGCTCTGGAGCTGGACCTGGCTCTGGAGCTGGACCTGGCTCTGGAGCTGGACCTGGCTCTGGATCTAGATCTGGCTCTGGATCTAGATCTGGCTCTGGAGCTGGACCTGGCTCTGGAGCTGGACCTGGCTCTGGATCTAGATCTGGCTCTGGATCTAGATCTGGCTCTGGAGCTGGACCTGGCTCTGGAGCTGGACCTGGCTCTGGAGCTGGACCTGGCTCTGGATCTAGATCTGGCTCTGGATCTAGATCTGGCTCTGGAGCTGGACCTGGCTCTGGAGCTGGACCTGGCTCTGGATCTAGATCTGGCTCTGGATCTAGATCTGGCTCTGGAGCTGAACCTGGCTCTGGATCTAGATCTGGCTCTGGAGCTGGAGCTGGAGCTGGCTTTGGAGCCGGAGCTGGCTTTGGAGCCGGAGCTGGCTTTGGAGCCGGAGCTGGCTCTTGAGCTGGACCTGGCTCTGGATCTAGATCTGGATCTAGATCTGGCTCTGGAGCTGGAGCTGGAGCTGGCTCTGGAGCTGGACCTGGCTCCGGATCTAGATCTGGATCTAGATCTGGCTCTGGAGCTGGATCTAGATCTGGAGCTGGAGCTGGCTCTGGAGCTGGATCTGGACTTGGACCTAGACCTAGACCTGAACCTGGTCATGGCTCAGAACTTGGTCTTGACCTTGACTTGACTTGACCGTAACCTGAACTAAACCAGAATTTGTTTTTAAACCGGTCATACAAATGGAGCGGACCTGGATATAAGCCTGGATTTAGACCCGGACCTGGGCTTAGACCTGGGCTTTGACTTTGGCTTAGACCTTGACTTAGACCTAGGCTGACCCTAACCGGCCCTGACATGGCTTCTAACTAGAGCACAGCCTGCTGTGTAATGCCAAAATTCTCACTTAATCTCTCAATCGTAAACGAGTTCGTGTTTGGGCCCTCGATAACAATTTTGCTGCTCGGAGTGCCGATTCCATAGGAAACTGCGTAACTGAAATTTCCTCAACGTTAATCTCTTCTTTAAAGATCGGAATTTGAAGCTTATGTTGTTCTTTCTTGTCTTTGAATGATTATTTCTGATTGTTGTATGATTTCTGATGTTTATGATGTTCAGACTTGGTAAAACAAACCCCCTGACGAGTATCCGATCACTCGTTGATGGTTGATCCCACCAGAGAGTCGCTGAATGAGCCGTCGTTCGAACGTGCACATTTTCCGGCGAATCAGGCACACGATCTTCTAGAAATTAGCTAACTAGCTAAGAAATTAGCTTTCAATTCAACAAAGCTATTCATAGCTTTACATTAAGATACTTCTTCTTTAGCCTTTTCAGGACAAGACTAGAGTCTGCGCTGATTTCACTAGGCTGACAGGAAGCTGACAGTCTGGGCTGACTCAAGCCAACTCAAGCCAATTCAAGCCAAGTCAAGCCTAGCCTCGCTCTGGCTCCAGCTCTGGCTCTAGCTCTGGCTCCAGCTCTAGCTCTAGCTCTGGCTCCAGCTCTGGTTCTAGCTCTGGCTCCAGCTCTAGCTCTAGCTCTGGCTCCAGCTCTGGTTCTAGCTCTGGCTCTAGCTCTGGCTCTAGCTCTGGCTTTTAGACTTCCGTAACCTTTTTCTTTAGTGTAATTTGTGCACAAAATCTGGAAACACACCCTTTCTAGTGCACTCGGTTCCTTAATTTGCACTGAACTCGATTCTTTTCATTAGCAAGATTTCTCCAGACTTTTCTCTGTCAAAATTGGGGAAAATCTGAAAGATTATCTATTCTCAAAGAATTGTGAAACATTTGATACTCGCTCCACCTCTTTTTATACGCCCCGCCCCTTTTTACACCCCCCGCCTCTTTGCCATTGGCAATCGAACTTTGAGCTCAAATTTCTCGGTGTTGGGTTGTCCAATTGAAATCATTTTTATACCAATCGATAGAGAAAGACTTGGCAAATCTAATGATACCTAGCATTTATAAATTGAACAACCCAACACCAAGATATTTGAGCTCAAAGTTAGACTGCCAATAGCGAAGGGGCGCCCCTTTGCCATTGGCAATCTAACTTTGAACTCAAATTTCTCGGTGTTGGGTTGTCCAATTGCAATCATTTTTATACCAATCGATAGAGAAAGACTTGGCAAATCTAATGATACCTAGCATTTATAAATTGAACAACCCAACACCAAGATATTTGAGCTCAAAGTTCGATTGCCAATGGCAAGGGGGGCGCGCGTCTCAAGTGTCCGTTAACCTTTTCAAAGTACCGTAGTCCTAATGATTTGTTTAAAGTACAGCTAATTGTACTTTTTTTTCTCTCTAAATAATCCATTTTCGGGAGTATTATTGAGTAATTTAAGTAAAATTTAGGTGTTCACAATTTCGATTTTTCTTTTTTCCCAAGATTCCCATTCAATTAAATCCCCTTTTAAAAGCGCTTGAAATTTAAATTCGAAAAATTTATGTTAATCTTCGAGATTCGAGAGAGAAAAAGAAGAAAAAAAGAAAAAAAGAAAAAA